GGCTGGCATGTGGTGCTGGGGGATTGAACCGAGGTCCCTGATGCTTTGCCAAGCTTGTTCTAAGTAGGTGCTTTAGACCACTGAGCCATCTCTCCAGCCCCTGTAATTTAATTTTTAAAAAAATTTTAATTCTTGATTGTGGCTTAACATTAGGATCTGTCCTAAGAATGTTCCATGGACTGATGAGAAGAATGTGTGATCTTTTTTCTATTGAATGAAATATTCTATAGTTATCTGTTAGATCCATTTGCTCAATAGTGTGGTTCAACTTAGATGTTTCTTTGTTGATTTTCAGTTTGGGTCATCTGTCTACTGTGGAAAGTAGGATGCAAAGTCACCATCAATCATGGTTATTAGAATCTGTCTCTTCCTATAAATTTAATACTATTTGCTTTTTATGTATTTGAGTCATGCTATGTGGTATGTATATATGTATAAATTGTTATATATTCTTGTTTAATTAACTATTTTGTCAGGGTAGTGTGAACTTCATTGTCTCTTTTTACAGTTTTTTATTTCAAGTCTCTTTTATCTGAAATGGATAGTTATTCCTGCTTGCTTTTTACTTTCATTTGTGATATATCATTTTTTTTTATTTTTTTCAATAGAATACAAAGTAATATTGATTTGATTTTTTTTTCGTGGTCCCAGGGATTGAACTCAGGACCTTGAGCTTGCCAGGCAGGCACTTATTCCACTGAGCTCTCGCCCCAGCCCACAAAGTAGTATTAAAACAGAAAAAAGTACAACAGATACAGAATTACACTTAACAAAGTAATATGAATTTCAGAGTACTTGTAGTAATACATAGTGTTTTCTTCCAACATGTAAAATTGGAAGAAGAAAAGAAAGAAGTGTATAAGAAATAAAGAAGAAAAAAGTACAAACAATTGAAAAAAGGAGACAAAATAAGTTATCTGCTCCTTTCATAGAACAGTAGAAATGCACTGTACATTTGTCCCAACAATCCTGCTTACAGACGTAGATCTCTCTCTTTCCTCCAGTCCCTCTCCTGTCCTTCTCAACTCAGCAGCTCTTTCCTTTTGAATAGATTCATTCCCTTTTACCAATAACTGTTATACCCTTCAGATTCCATTTTCACTTTCAGGCCCTCACACTTAGGAGACAATACGGTGTTTGCATATGCGGGTCTGATTTATTTCATTTAAGAATGTGTTCTCTAGTTGCATCCATTTACTGACAAAGGACTCAAATTTATCCAGTTTTGTAGCTGAATAATTGAAACTGTCCTACCAATTTGATTTGAAACTGTCTTATTGCTATTTGTTTCTCAATAAAATTATGGGAAAAAAAAAATGAAAGAAGAAAAAAAAAATTTGTGTAGTATCATTTGTGTATGGTTTTTTGTTTTGTTTTTGAAATGAAGTCTCACTAAGTACCCAGGTTGGCTTCAAATTCAGGTTTTTCCCAGTCAGCTTCCTGGGTAGCTGGAATTAAAGGTGTGTACCACTGCACCTAGTTTAAAAATGTTAAATTTGTTATTGACATCCACTCTTTCAGGAAGACAAACTTCTACTTGAGAGCCAACTGATTCTAGCTACGGCTGAGCCACTGTGTCTTGATCCTTCCATAGCAGTGGCCTGCACAGCAAACAGACTGCTCTATAACAGGCAAAAGATGAATACTCGCCCTATGAAACGGTAAGTGCCTTTGAGGAGAGTGAATCGAGAGGTTCTGTGATAAGTAGCTGTACAGTTTTCTATTTGTGATGTGTTTGTCTCCAGAATGTGAATGTCTGCCTGCCCCTCTAAACTGTCGCACAGATCCATGGTAATGGGCATCTTATCTTAGTCCTTTTATTTTACTGGTACCTAGACAGTGCTTGGCATGTGATACTGCTCTGTGACTATTTGCGATTTGATTGCACAATCAGTGCTTATTGGTCAAAATTATGTGTGAGTTTATTAACTTTGTTTAGTTCAAATCTCTTAATATTTTAGGTGTTTCAAGAGATATTCCAGATCTTCTTTGAATCGGCAGCAAGATCTATCTCACTGTCCACCTCCTCCTCAGCTGAAATTACTTGATTTCTTACAAAAACGAAAGGAAAGGAAAGCAGGTCAGCATTATGACCTCAAAATTTCTAAAGCAGGAAATGTAAGTATGTATTTAATAAGGCTTATACCAACAAGCCTCTTATTTGGAACTTTGTACTTAAACTATTTTTAATTTTTCAGTGTGTAGATATGTGGAAACGGAGTCCCTGTAATTTGTCCATACCTTCTGAAGTGGATGTAAGTCAAAAATTAGCTCTTGAACTATTTTATTTCCACATGTTTCGTATGTTTTGTCATTTATGTAGTTAATAATTATATCTTGAGGGAAAAGCTTAATTCTTTTAAAAATAAAATAAGAACAACTGCTTGCTTTTAGAAATTATAATCGTCACATGGAGTTACATGGAAATGTAGCCCTTTAGTTCTACATTTAGGATAAATTCTTTTTTTTTTTTTTCCTAATGTATTTGGTATAGGGTTTTACTATGTAGACAGGACTTGTAGTGATTCTCCTGTTTTCAGCCTCCCAAGCAGTGGGATTACAGGTGTGCGCCACCATATCCAGTCTCAATCGCCCTCTCAGTGCTCCCTGGGGGTGGGGCCAGCAAGGCATGCCAGGGTTTGAACCCTCGCTGCTGTGCTCCGCCTAAGCAGGCACTTTAGTCTTCTGAGCTATCTGGCTGGCCCTAGTTCTACATTTAGAACAGAAATAACTTTGAATATGGGATATATATGATGCTTCTGATTTTTTCATGTATTCATAATCTAATGGTCCCTCTCTCCTTTCTTCATAATCTGCCAATGATGCTCAAACTGTTTAAAGGTGGATAACACTGAACCAGTGGCCAGCATGAGGCATTTAAACAGTATTTTTCACTGATTTATGATACACATAAACTAGAAGAGATGATCAAAAAATACCATGGACATTAAACATTTATTATAATAAAAGACAGTACCACTACTCTCCTTCACAATACTACTGCTTATGTGAACACTTTGTTCTGCTATGTGAACTCATTGTTCTTGCCATTCCTAAAGCATTTCTGAAATCCTCTTTGATGAGCATCTTTACAAGATACAGTAAAAATTCAATAAATGCTACTGCTTACATGTCATCCACCAGAACAGCAGCCTCATAAAAATGTAAGGTGTATCCTCATCCACCTTGTTCACCAGATCTGGCACAGTGCAGCCTCAGGCTCTTCTCCAAAGTCAGGTGACCATGAAAGTTAAAACTTCCATTCAGGACATCAAGGTAGCCCCCGTAGCACAACTACAGAAAGTCACAGAAGACAGCTTCCATAACTGCTTCAGCAAGTGGCAAGAATGATGGGATAAGCGTGTTGGGGTGGGTGGGGAGCTGGTATTAGAGGGGGATTAATGGCAGCGTGTCTTTCATTATCATAAACTTTTACTTAGACACTGTATTTTTCTATCACACCTGTATTTTTCTATCACACCTTCACAGAAACAAAGGTAAGAGGAACATTCTGATTAGAGGTTCTATATATTCTTTTTTTATTCCCAGAGCTCTTTACAACTGTTCAATTATAATCTATTCTTTTGCATCTTTCCTTGGCTAGCAAAAGTAGTATTCCTCCTATGATGTAGAAAATCTGCAAAGCATGAAAGCAGAATAGAGTTTGGTGAAACAGAAGGAAGTAGGCTGCATGGTCTTCTTCGTAGCTTACGTGCTCTTGCAGACACAGCCCAAGATGAGTTGTCCAGTTTGAGCGGGGTGAAGTTGAGCTTTAGCGAGCGGTGCGGCATGGACATGGGTGTCTGAAGCCTCACTTGTGAAGCTACAGTGATGTGTGAGAGTCACCTGGGAAGCTTGTTGAATCCTAGATCACTGCTCACAAGTCTGCAGGGAAAGAGGCTGCCATTCTCACAGACTTGTGAGTTAGTGTTGCTGGGGCCCCACAGGCTGCAGGTTAATTATGGAAGAGCCACACAGGCTGTCACTTAAACCTACAGGTTTCAGATCCCAGCTCAGACCTACTTACTTAATCATGGTTTCCGGAAGAGGGATATTAAAAAAAACCTGTATTTTTAACAGTGCCTAGATGAATCTGAATTACTATATTTTTGAGGGGAAAAGGTTTTTCAAATCAAACTCAGCCCTAAGCATGCAAAGGATGTGCTGTTGAGCTATATCCCTGTCTCAGCTTTTTTTTTTTTTCTGTATTTTAGGGAAAGGTCTGGGTGTTCAGGGTCTCACTACTAGATCAGACTTGTAGTGATTCTCCTGTTTACAGCCTCCCACGTGCTAGCATTACAGGCATGTGCCACCACACCCAGTCTCAATTGCTGTCTCAGCTTGCCCCAGGGGCGGGGCCAGCATGGCAGACCTGGTCAGCTACTCTCAAGATTGTGGTTTCCAAGCGAGTGAGAACATTTAGTTTATGTTCTTAGGAACACAGAACATATAGCTCAAATCATCAGAAAGTAGAAAAGATTAAGCCAAGTGTAGTAATTGCACACCTGTAATCCCGGCACTCAGGAGGCTGAGGCAGAAAGGTTGCTGCTACAAGTTCAAGACCAGCCTGAGTTCCATAGTGAGATGACTCAAAAAAACAAAAAGCAAGACGAAACTAACAAAAACGAAAAAAATTTGAGAGGGTTTGAAACATTTTTCAACTTTAATATTTTATCGTCTTTCTAGTTTTGTTGCCCTTAATACCTTACAACTTCTGTTCCATTAAAAATTATGCCTAAAGGAATTTCTTTCTCAAACATTCCATTTTTACTGAAGGACATTTGTGTTGTCGGGTTAAAAGGGTAAAAAGAAAAGAGGCAATTAACAGCCAAAGAAATTCTACTTTTATCTTATTAGTAAAGTTGTTTTGATTGAGCACATCAAAATTTTCCGCTAATTAAGCATTAAGTAGTTGATGGTATAGTATTGAACCAAAAGTCAACATCGTTAGCAGTGTTTGCATTGTAGAGTACCCTTTGGTCAGAACAGTCATTGTGTTTGCTCCGGCATCTTGATTTAATTGTGTAGGTGGAGAAATACGCTAAAGTGGAGAAGTCTATCAAATCTGATGACTCCCAGCCAACAGTCTGGCCAGCACATGTAAGTAGCCATTGCCAGTCTTCCTTTCTCATGATGCTCTTGCTGATCTGAGCTCTGAATTCATTAAACATTCAGTTACTTTTAATCTGGAATCTTTTATTTTTCAAAAAGAAATAATTTTCTAGGATTTCAGTGAATTACAAGAAGGAATAATTATTTTGTCTTTAAATATAGGTTCCATTGTAAAGAGCTGTTTAAATGTAGCTGTTTAAATGTTTACTTTGGTGGCATATTTGTAGTTCTGTTTGCTTTTTGTTTCAAGTCAGTACATTCATTTAAGGGTATCTTAAAGGAAATGTTCTAATCTCTAATTGCAATAATAACTTCTGAAAGACAGTATAATGTATTAAATTAGATGAACCATAGGAATGAAATAACGTGAGATATTTTGCACATACAATTGTGTGTGGGGGCATGTGTGTGTGACTAAAGCTTTTATGTTTTACTTATAAACATTAGCAGTTTATGTGTCCAGCATGTGAAACTCCACTGGGTGTCTTGCTAGCTAATAGCTGCTCAGTTGGTGCTCCCATTCCCAGAGCACCATGTGACACAGAAGTCCTGTGCAGTCCTGTTGAAGGTGGAGAGGCAGGCAGCAGAGAGCCAGGGTGCCTGTGGGGACTCCAGGCAAGTCCCTCAGAGCTCGCTTAGTTAGCTGAAGTTGAGCTTGGTAATGCTAGTGCCAACCCTACAGCCATGATGATGTCTTGAGGCTGTACCCATAGTATGCTGACAATAATGTTCACTAAATGTTATTTTAATTATATTAATATTTTAGCTTACTAGTATCATTACATGTTCAAATTTCATTGTTATATGTTAATGCTTTACTAAAAAAGAACTATCTTAGCTTTTTTTTCAGAAAATCTTAATGCATTTCTGTAATCTAAGGGCCATGTATTATCCTGTTGCTAGATACAAGTTAATGTGTCATTTCTCTCTGATGTTTGCTAATGTGGTTGCGTACTTACTTGAAAAGGTATTACTTGGGATATTCTTTTGCAGGATGTAAAAGATGATTATGTATTTGAATATGAAGCTGGTAATCAGTGTCAGAAAACAAAGCTTACCATCCTACAGTCTCTTGGTGATCCACTTTACTATGGTAAAATCCAACCATGTAAAGGAGATGAAGAAAGTGACAGCCAGGTGTCTCCATCTCAGTGAGTTCTAATAAGTATATGTAAAACTCAGATGTATTTAGCAGGTACCGATGAGCAGCTATTAATAAGTTAAATTTTCTCTGCAGGGATGCACCATTTGTTACATATACCAAGTAGATTTGACACGGTATAGAAGAAATGTAAATCATAGTTATCATATTGTCTCAGTTATTTAAATAATTTCTTTTAAAGAACATATATTCTATTTTTATGCTAGCTTTGAAGATTATTTCTGGGATGTCCTTGTTTTATTTATCTGTTCACACTATGATTGATCTTACAAAATATGTATACTATATATATGTAGCATAGATTACAGGGTTGTTTTGTGTTTTTTTTAATTGAGATAGAGCCTCACTGCACAGTTCAGGCTAGCCTTGAACTCCAGATCCTCCTGCCTTATCCTCCTGAGTGCTGCAATTATAAGCCGGTGCCACCAACTGGGCTCAGTATTCGCATTTTTTAGTTTTTGCTGTTTTTATTAACACTTTTGATTTTTAAATCACATGACAATGTTGTCAAAAAATCATATAAAGAAGGGCTCAGCAGAAGAAGGCAGGGGTCAGATTTATGTCAGACTGTTTGTAAAGCACTTTATAAAACATTAATTGACATTAGAGTTAGAAAGGTTTTTTTTCCTCTTTTCCCCAGTAGCACATGTCAAACTCAGGACCTTACACTTGCCAGGGAGGTACTTATGCTGCTGAGCTATATCCCTGGCAGGAAGGTAGATTTTTAAAGCGTAGCTTCACCAGTATTTCAAAAGAAGTCAGTGAGCAGAAATAGTAGCAGGTAGGGATTCCTCAGTTGAGAAAAAACAAAGATCAGATATTTTAATTAACTATATTTTAAAAATCTTCCCTAAAGACATACATTGCTCATTTTTTTAAACTTACTATCTTTTCTAGGGCATGAGGGTATAATATATGTTTTCCTCATGAAAAATTAGGCCTAAAAGCTCACCGACTACTACTTTTTTTTTTTTTTTTTTCTGTTCACTGACTACTTTTGACAGGAAAAAGAATTTTTTTTTCTGCCATTACACTAGGTGCTGCATGATAAATTGTCTGCCAGGCTTTCATTGATATTCATAATGAGGAATTCATTACTGAGTAATTCTGAAGTTAAAATTTGAGCTGCATTAACTAAGATTTTTTTTTTTTTTTGCATTTTATATTTTTCAGCTCCTCTACAGATGATCATTCAAATTGGTAACTGAAAAATAAGCACTTTTAATCTGTTAAAGTCAAACTTTTTTAAATAACATGATAAAGATTTTTGTTTGAACTGGCATTAAGCTGTCTCCCTTGTCTAAACTATATTCTAAGGTCCTACTCTATAGCCAATGAGAATGTCTTTGAGCTAGGTGTGATAGCCTTTAATCCCAGCACTCTGGGGGGCTCAAGCAGGAGGATCATAAATTCAGGTCCAGTCTAGGCAAGTTAGTGAGACCTCATCTCAAAATATAAAAAAAGAGCTGGAAGTAGAGCTCATTGTGTAGGCAATAGCCTCGATTCCTAGAACCAAACAACAACAGAATGACCCAGAATCCAAGAGGAAAATGAGTGGAAGGCCAAAAGGTCCTCAGTATAGTAATTCAGTGATTTTGTGATAGGACCAAGCCATCACTTTTATCAGTGATAATTTTTAGGTAGGAAATTGGTAATTTTCAACTTAGATTATATTTTGATAGATAAATGTTGCCACAAAGTAAATGTCCCATTAGTTAAATCAGCCATATTTATTATACACAATTATTTTATGCATGCAAAATTTGGTTATTGCTATATAAGTTTAAAACATTTTAAATTTTTTTTGGATTTTAGTAGATTTAAAATTTATAAAATTGTGGACTAAAATGGGAAAAGTTTAAAATGGCTTTTTAACACATTCTTATCTAATACTTTTCTCTTTCCCTTTAACATTTAGGTTCATTATTGGATCAAAGACTGATGCTGAGAGGTAAAAAAAAAAAAAAAACCTGCATCTTTATTTTTGGCCAGAACAAATGTGAAAAGCTTTTGTCTTACACATTCGAGAATACTTTTTTTAGAAGACATAAAATTTGATTTTAGTTAATGCTGTTTACTCTTTAAAATTCTTCAAATTAGTAAATCATTTAATATTTGTAAGTTTATATGAAATTAAGTAAATGAACAGTAAAATCTCTAAAGCCCTCCGTAACTTTAAAATGCTAGGTTTTGGGTTTTTTGTTGTTGTTGTTGTTGTTGTTGTTTTCAGTATTTTACAGAAGAGTCTACAGGGTGTTCAGGGTCTCACTACTAGATTGGACTTGTAGTGATTCTCCTGTTTACAGCCTCCCAAGTGCTGAGATTACAGGTGCGCTACAATGCCCAGTCTCAATTGCCATCTCAAAACGCCCCAGGGGTGGGGCCAGCACAGCTTAAAATGCTGTTGATTCTAGGAAAAATATCAAAAGATGTGATATAACAAATGGCTAAAAATAGTTCTTTTCATGGGATGAGATTTTGAAGAACTTAACCGGATCTTTCTGATATTTTAATACCTGAGATGCTTTCATAGAAATAAGAAAATGGTTCAAAGAATAATGTTTTAAATATATATATTTTTTAGGGGCCTGGGAGATGGCTCAGTGGAATAAGCGCTTCCCTGGCAAGTGCAAGGGTCTGAGTTCAATCCCTGGTTCTGCAATAAATAAGTAAATAAATAAATTTTTTAAATAAAACTTAGACCTGAGCGTGGTGTGCACACCTGTAATCCCAGCACTCTGGAGACTGAGGCATGAGGGTTATTGTGAGTTCAAGGCCAGCCTGAACTACATAGCAAGACCCTGTGTCCAAAAGACAAAAAAAATTAAAAATTAAAAAATTTAGATATCTACTGTAGCTATAGAAGATGATTTTAATCTGCATTTGAGGCTATGAGTAATTTCTTTGGCTGCTTATTGGTTGTATTATTCCTATAATTTCTGTATTAGAAGTAAGATATTGAATATGTATCTTTAAATTGTTAGCAAAATGTTTTTAACATGAGTTTGTTATTGAAAATATTAGAATAAAGCATTCAAAGCAAACATAAGTTACCTTAATTTCCATTTTTGTTAGATTCTGTGGAACAGTTTTTCTAATAAAGCATTATTTGTTTTCTTTATAATAGAGTTGTTTAAAGGGCTAGCAGTCCTTATCTATTTTCTCCTAATACTCAGGGTAGTTAATCAGTACCAGGAATTGGTCCAGAATGAAGCCAAATGTCCAGTCAAGATGTCACACAGCTCTAGTGGCTCTACCAGTCTAAACCAGCTTTCTCCTGGGAAAGAAACAGAAGTATGTTTCATTGCTGTTCATTCCTGTTTCTTAAGGGATCAGACAAATGTTAAGGTTCATATTTTCAGAGGTAGGGAGATTATTTACTTTTGATTTTAACTTTTTTATGATAGAAAATTTCAAAAGCACACAAAGAAAGGCTAGTGTAAAGAACTCTTGTATTTCGGTCATCCAGCTTCCTGGAAAGGAAGGGTAGAGGAGTTCGGACGCTTTGACCTCCTCCTCTTACTCTTCTCTTCTTCAGTTCTCTTTCTTCTCTCAAGTGCTTAGAAACCTTTCCCTTATCCTGTAGGTGTGCTGCAGTGTACCTCCTTAGGTTTCATGTGAAATTATAATCTTCATTTACATTTGTGGCATTCAATCTGTGACCACTAAGAATAGTTCAGAGTTACAAGTTGGTTTCATCTGGGAGTTACTATTATAGGTAGCATTTTGATTCTTACAACTAATGTTTAATGTCCCTGTCTTTCATCAGGCTGAGACCGTGTCAGTTCAGTCTTCTGTGCTGGGGAAGGGAGTAAAACATCGACCTCCACCCATCAAACTTCCTTCAGGCTCAGGAAATAGTGCCTCAGGTGTTAAAATCCTTACTTTTCTATAATCTAAGTAAAAAATGTCATAAAATCATAATCTTTTTAAAAACTTATTTTTATTTCTGCAACTCACAGAATGTCAAATTATGAATCTAGGAAATAATTCTCGTGTTCTTCTAGGTAACTATTTCACACCACAACAAGCCAGTAGCTTTCTTAAATCTCCAACTCCTCCTCCGCCTTCTAAGCCACCAAATCTTTCTCGGAAGTCATCGGTGGAACTCAATCAAGTTAGTATGCTTTCTCCAGCTGCCCTGTCTCCTGCCAGCTCATCACAAAGTGAGTCATAACTTAAATTCTTCATTGAACTTTTAAAGCTTTTGCATCAATGTTTTTCAAGACAGCTTAGTTATTTTCAACCTGTGAAATAGTGAAATCTAAATGTACTGTATACCCGAAATAATGTAAATTTTGGAAGCTTCAAGCACAGCTCTTGTTTGTATGTACTATGTGTTCATTGTAGTATGTTTTTCTGTATATGCACTCTGTGTATACCTTTCTCCTAGACTTTGAACCTATACGACTTAAAAAATATTTTAAAATATTCTGATAATTACATGTGGCAGTAAGACTCCAAAATATTTTTTATTCCACTGTACCCTAGGATCGTGTTACAGTTTATGTGAACTATGTGGCTGATGTGGATAAAATGTCCTAAGAATTGTTGCTACAAATCCTATCTTTGTATATGTAAGAAGCCCATTAGTTCCAAGATGATGATAAAATAAACTGAAAACCAGTATTTTAAAAACACTCCTACACTCCTACAAATTATTGTCAGTTACTAAAATGTGGTTATGGTCATAAAGCATTCTCAAAATACTAGAATTAATTTTTGCTACTGGATATTTTTTTTAACATCAAGAAGAGTTATACATGAATAGAAATAATTGGGGAGAATTTCTTCAAATTGGTAAAAGTACCTGAATATTTTAGGTACCAATTTGGGGGGAGAAAAGCATTTCCAGTTTTTTAGATTTTTTCATAGAAAACCAGTGTGTGCTAAAAGTTTTAGAACACTGCACAGTGATAGAAGGGTCTTCGAATTAGATGTAAACATCTTCCTCTTGATAGCTCAAAAGGTGTAATTTTTCTGCCTTCTTGTTTTGCACAAAGAAAAAAATATAAATTTTCTGAAAGTCTTATTCACACTTCTTACATTGTGGGTATGGATTATGGTAATCTACTGCACACAATTGTTGCTTTAAGTAAGGGTTGAGTGACAGCTTCTGGACATTCACATTTCTTTCCTTTCTTTCTGCAGGACATGAAAGCTAAAAAAGAAAACACCTCAAGAGCTTTTGGTTTTACTTTTTTGGTTTTTGTTTTTTTTTTTTTTTTTAATTGATAAACTGTGCATACTTTATTCACAACAGATTTTCTATACATTCTACATTTAAACAGAAGTACACAGTTACTGTTAAAGATGCAGTATTACCTGTCAAATATTTATTTATTACTTTTTTTTATAAATTTGTTTGTCAGGATAACCTTGATGTGTTAGGACTTAAACATGTACATGCAGGTGCCAAATATGTTTGTTAACCATATGTAATTTATAAATATGTTCACAGTTCATTGCAGACTGTTACACTAAGCAGTATTTTTTAAAGTCTTGAATTAGTAAAATAGTAACAAAACTTAATCTGAATTCCTTTTGAACTTTTTAGACCAAGGGCAGCATGTAGGAAATGCACTTTTAAGTGGGTACTGTGGTAGAATACAAATGTATATTTTTACTGTTACTGTAATAGCATCTCTAATGGGATTTTTTAGGTGATATACTGCATCCTTAATTGTAATTGAGTGTAGAAACACTCATGTATCATGTGTAGAAATTAACACTTGCAGTTAACTGCTTAAAAACTGGAACAAATTGTCAGTACTAAGTAAGATTCCATTAACCTTATTTTAAAAAGGACTGGCCATTTATAACAAACTAGCAATTTTTATTTTTCTCAATGAGCAGGATCTGGAACTCCTAAGCCATCTACTCCTACACCAACCCCTTCATCGACCCCACACCCTTCTGATGCTCAGAGCTCAACTCCTAGTGCCCTTTCAGCCACCCCTACTCCCCAAGATTCAGGCTTCACCCCTCAGCCCACTTTGTTAACTCAGTTTGCTCAGCAGCAAATGTCTCTGAGCCAGGCAATGCCTGTAACGACCATTCCTCTTTCCACCATGGTAACATCTATAACTACAGGAACCACAGCCACCCAGGTCATGGCAAACTCTGCTGGATTTAACTTCATCAATGTAGTGGGCTCTGTTTGGTAAGTGTGTAAGGATGACCTGATTTTTTTAAGATATTCTCACCCATCTAAAAAAAAAAAAAAAATTTGTGAAATTAAGAGCATTGTTTTATTCAAATAGAAAGACTAGTTTATATATGGAAAGACATCTCACATGTGTGTTTTAATTTTAGTTAAGCATCTGTTACGTGCACTAAAATTTGTTATATTGATAGCAGTATAGAGTTTTCTGTTCATCCTTTTTCTACCTTTCAATCCCTTGGTTGGTTCTTTCCAAATGATACTTCAAAATTATGATAGGTACTTGTAGCCAACCTTGCTGCCAGTGTCAGCCTGACATTCAGAAAATGATACTGAGCATTAAATTGATTTTTAAGACAAATGATTTTGTTTTATAGTTTGTTTTATAATCTGAGGGGTTATGAGGCTTATTTTTCCTTTTTACAGTGCAAGTTTGATGCTTTGTTTTATTCTCCTGCAGTGGGACCCAGGCTTTGATGACTGGTTCAAACCCCGTGCTGGGCTGTAACACTGGTGCCGTAACTCCTGCAGGAGTAAGCCTGGCTGGCCTTCTCCCCTCAGCGAGCCTGCTATCAAGTTCATTGCCCAGTACCATGCGGGCAGCATCACGAGCAGGTCAGAAGATGGGAAGTAATGGCTGCTATAAAACTGAGCTCTATGATAAACATGCTATTTTAAGGTTATTGCTAAAGGTATCTAGTGGCATTATTTTATGAAGTATTATACCCTAAGTGTTTAATTTTCAAGGCTTCAAAATTCTGTGCTATTTTCTGATGTTGTTTAAAATAATGTATAGTAATACAGTGATGTCTTGGTGTATGAAATTAATTTCTTCTACAGTTTTGGGAAAGGTGGCTGCATTTGTGGTTCTATGGGGAAGATGGGAGTGGTTGTTGTTTTGTAACCCAAAACAGTTTGCAAACGGAAGCAAAATTTTGTCTAACCATGTTATTTGCAAACCAAAGCATTGGTGAACTGAGGTATCTGTACCTTGGAATATTCGATTTCTTACTGTTGAGAAATTTAAAAGGAAAAACAGCACTGAAAAATCTATCCAAAATTTTCTGTAGATTATGAGAATCAACAGAATTAAAACATGTTAAAATGTTACACTGATTACACATTCTAGTTTATATTTTGTTTTGATGAACATAAGTGACTTTATTGGCAGAAACCCTGGAAATAGATTTCAGTGTTCTGTTCAGTTAGGATATTTAGTGTACATGAACTTTATTGGTAGTACCATGTAAGATGGGTGCAGTTACTAACTGGCACCTTAGAGAATTCACCTAAATTTTATCCCTAGGCCTGTTTTATCACTGTAAAGAGGGAGTAAAAAATGTTTTAACTTCAGTAATTCTGAGAAATAAAAGTATGAAAATGCCTTTGCCAAGGCTGAAAGCACTCTAGATACCATCTTTATGTACTAAGCAGTGCAGTTTTCTTTAAGCCATTTTAGTGATAATTTTTCCTGAAAGGATACCAGTTTATATTATAATTGGGTTTTACCTTTCACTCATACAAGACCTTTATAGTTTCAGTGCGAGTTTTCTACCTCATCTTTTTTAATAAAATCTGATAAAGGACAAGATAATATTTTTAATTAGTGTTGAGATTAGTGTGTTTTATTAAGTGAACAAAATACACACTACTTTGAGAACAAGGTAAGCAGATGAAAGTTCACTCTCAAAACTAAGAAAGGTTTTCACTTTTTTTTTTTTTTTAATTTTATGTATTTCTATAGGGTCTCACTACTCAGCTCGGACTCATACTAATGCCTCTGTTTCAGCCTCCCCAGAACTGGGACTATAGGCTTGCACCACCAGGCCCAGTTTTAGTGTCCAGCTTGGTGCCAGGTCTTGAACCTGGGTTCCTGCACTTGCTAGACAGGTTCTTAGACCACTGAGCTACCTCCTCAGCCCAGCTTTCATTTTTTTAATGTTTAATTTTTTGACTTTTTTGCGACAGAGACTCACTATTTAGCCTAGGTTAGTCTCAAACTCACAGCAGTCCTTCCGCCTGCGCCTCCTAAATGCTGGAATCCAGGTGTGTGCCACCTGGCTCAGTTTTCACATTTTTTAAAACACAAGAAGAAAAATACATATCAGAAATTGTATATGACCACCACACCTACGCTATGGCTCTGTTCTGAAAATCTTTACCCATCTTGCACCTTAAGATGTGCTGTGTTTTGTATCACTGATTTTTAGGAATAATTTGAAAACTAACCATTGTTTTCTGATATGTGGTTTTGGTCCTTACCCACAAAATTCAACACACTTTGGCATCCAGATTATTAGCCTTTGTATTTTAAAAAAGAAGGAAAAGAAACTAGTATGAGCACACCAGTTCAGTTTTTAGAGCTAGGATTATTATATATCATTTAACACCAAAATATATAGATGCCAGTATCTTAAATATATTTTACACAACAGATAGTTTTATTATATTCATGGTGTCCATATAAATCTAAATTACTTTTTACAGGCAGCAGTTACAATAGTGAAAAAGAAATCTGAGTTTCTGAAATAAGAATATAATATACATCTACTGCTCTGAATTTTTTAATAAAAGCTCAGTATTAACATTGAACAAAATGTGTGTTTAACCTTTTTTAAGTATGGAAAATAAACACAATCTGTGGAGAAAGTACATGAAATGTCTTTATACTAAAATATAAATCATTTTCATAGATAATATTGTTGTTATTTTATAACCATGAGTTTTAAATATTTAACAGGTGTTCCGTTTGGTTTAAAAAATACTTCAAGTCTCAGGCCTTTAAATCTACTCCAGGTAAAACTGAAGCACTGCTTTTAATTAAAGTTCTTTCTTTTTTTTCCCAATAATGTATATCTATACAGATTCTGAGGTCTGTTCAGAATCTTCTAATGGTGCAGTTACTGCTACCTTTGTATGATTGAGTGGATAAGGAGAAACATTTTACATACCTGTTGGGTAGTCACGTCCATAACCCTCTTTAACCAAGAACTTTCATACCTACCAGGTCCTATACGTGCCCAGAGTAGAGACAGTAGATTTATTTGGAGACTAATCTACTCTCTGCAGCTATTCTATGTGCCCATATTTGTATACTATTGGCTTACAATAGATGTGCTTGAATGGAATGTGAAAATGTGTATGTGTTCCTGAGTTTATTTAGTATGTACACATTGAGGAAAGAAAAACTGAACTTCTGTTGTCTGTGCTATATGTTCAAATTTACCAGACAGTAATCTGTGTTAGATGGAGAAATTTTGCCCAAAGATGGAGTGTCTTTTGTGTTGTTGCTTGTTTTTCTTTTGACTATATATACCCAAGAATTCTGTGGTTGGTATTTCGTTGAAATTTCTATAAGGACCTCAAAGTTCTTACTACTTAGATTCCCTCTGGTTTAAAAAGCAAAAACTTTCCTGGTATATTTGAAAAGTCTACCTTTAAATTTATGGGTATTTTCTTCAGTGTTTAAAAAAAATTAATATGCATTCAGAATAAGAGTAATAGTCTCCTTGAATATGGGTATCTGGTGCAAAATTCCTTACTGCGTTATATGAAAAATCCATGTATTTTTGGGTTTTGGGCAAAGCTAGAACAAATTTTGAGGAATAGGTTTTGTTAATATATATTTCTGATTCATGGCATCTTACTTATTTCTAGTGCCTTTAATGTTATTTTGTATTGTTGTAGAAGAGCTAAATAATTGATGTAAACTTGAATAGCTCTTTACTTTGAAGCAGAAAGATTTGTCTGAAAGTGTTACTATACTTGAAACCCAGAGTAATGGCATTTAAAAATTATTTCTAAACAGATCTTTTTAATGACAGGTAACTTAATTTGTTTTGATTTCTCTTCACCTCTTAACTCAGTACCTACCTAGAAGAGTGCTTGAAACATACATAGTAAATATTCCAAAAGAAGCATGTAGAATAAAGAAATTTGAATATTTTGTATAAAATAATCTGAAAAGAGCTAATCTTTTATATTTTTAAATTTTATTGAAAATAGCTTCCCAGTGGCTCACTCGTCTTTAACACCCAGCAGCCGCCGCAGCAGCCGCCACAGCCCACAAGCTCCAGTCCTCAGCAGCCCGGGGAGCAGGTAGGCTTCTGTCTCTACATTGTGCCCGTAGAAGCAGGACATTTTTTTTCCTATATTCTAATTCTGTTTCAAGTGGTTTTATTTGACTTATTGGAACAAACACTTTCTGCACTTTTCCTTTATTAACAGTAGTAACCCAGTTACTGGGTACCTATTTTTAATAAAACACACATTCTGAGTAGGTGATGTCGGGTCCTATACAGTGGGGATCAGACTGAGAAAATGACTCATAGCTGTACTTTGAATGGCAGGACCAGGTATTTGTCCTTGTAGTCATCATTCTTGTGTTGTTGCTGGCTAGAATACAGCTGTCTATATTGTCACGTACAAGACAGTAGGAACATGGACAGAAGCAAATATTGTACACCATTAAACATAATGACATTGAATAGCAGCTGTAAATTAGAAGAAAGCACTACCAGTATTTCTGAATGTGGGCCACATTCTAAAATCACCTAGGAAACTAAAATCTATATCGTACCGATTCCTGGGTCCTACCCCTATTATACAAGTAAATATATGAAATATTTAAGTGTGGTGACCCACACATGTAATCTCAGCCCTGTGGAAGACTGAGGGAGGAGGATCACAAGTGTGAGTCCAGCCTGGGTAGCTTAGTGACTTAAGACCCTATCTCAGAGGAGAAGGTGCTGGAGGCATAGTTCAGTTTGAATCCTGAAGATATAATTCCCAGTCCTTTAAAAAAAAATGCACATATATTAATTGATCACCATCAGTGCTTTTGTCAGTCTCCCTGCTTAAGTCTTGAGTCGTTTTTTTATCTTGCAAAAGTGTAGCTTCTACACAGTAAACAACTCCTATTTTTCTTGTCCTTTGTGTTGCTGGCAGTCACCATCCTGGTTTTCCATGTGTTTGCTTGCACTAGAAATTTCAAGCAAGTTAAATCATAGAACATTTGTTCTTCTGGCTTGTTACCTCTTCAGAGAAAATATACTTCTGGGTATACCCAAAGGTAGATTTGCTGGATTGTAACAATAATTCTTGTACTTTTTTGAGAAGCACTGTGTGTTTTCTGTAGGGGCTGCACTGTTTTACATTCCCACCAACAATGTTCAGGAGTTGCAGTTTGTCCAAATCCTTACCAATACTTGTTATTTTGAGTTTTGAGTTGCTGCAGCTCTGTACTCTGCCACTGAGGAGCTGTATTCATCCCTGTCTTGTTCTGAACCACAGCCATCCTAATGAACGTGAGATGATAGTCTCATTGTTTTTGATTTGCGCTTCCCTGTGAAGTGCAAAGTGGCTAGTGATAGGGGGCATCGTTTCAGATACACAACCGTTTTCTGTAATCTTTAGGGAAGTTTCTGTTCAGGGCCTTTTGCCCATTTTTTGTTAGGATATTTATTTTTTCAGTTGTGAAGTTCTATACATCAGGTATATGATATGCAGATACCTCCTTCCATTTGTAGGTTGCTTTTTCACTCTTTGTATTTTTTGCCCAAAAGTTTTTAATTGTAATATAGTTTATCTATTTTTATTCTTTTTGTCTGTGACTTTGGGTTCTATTATAAAAATTATTGCCAAGCCCAGTGTCCCTAGGCTTTTTCCCCGTGTTTTTCTGTATGGGTTCTGCAGTTGTAAGTTTCTTTAAATGTATGTAGTATGTTTTTCTGAGAGGTTTTTTCATCATTTTTTTGAGATAGGGTCTCACTCTAATTCAGGCTGTTCTTCAACTCAAGGTGACACTCCTGCCTCAGCCTCCCAAGTACTAAGAGTGCAGGTGTGCACCACCATGGCTGGCTGTCTTTAAATTTATTGAAAATGTTTCCCACTTGCTTTGTATGTTTTGAGAATTCTGTTGCCAGTCTAATTTTTTTGCTGGTCTGAATGTATTTGGTCATTTGGCTTAGAGGATCCAAAGGTTTATTATCTTCAAAGAATATTTTCACTTTAATAGATACCACATCTTCCCTATGGGCCCTTTTATTATGTAGATTCAGGTCTTTATTTTTTGAACTCTTTCCTGCAACTGAGTTGAGGTCATTCTTTTCTAAAACAAACATTTAATGTGCAAAACTTCACAATATTGCTTAAACTAATTTTCTACTAATTCCATGCTGTGCCTTAATTTTTTTAAATGGTGTAACTTGTGAATTCCTTTTACATGGGCTTTAGATAAATGTTTGATTTCCACATATTTGAGGATTTTCCAGGTAACTTTCTATAATTGATCTCAAGTTCACTGATTTTTGTTCTGTTTATGTCAGCTCTGGAGATTGAAGCCAGGACCTCTGCGCTGAGCTTCATCCTTAACCTTATTTTATTTTTGAGACAGGGTCTCCTCAAGTTGCTCTGTTGTATTCTAGCCAGTCTAGGCTTAAATTTGTAATTCTCAGACTTCAGCCTCCCAGAGTATTGGAATTATAAGTGGTGCTATGCCATGCCCAGCTTTGGTTTCTAGTTTAAATCCACTGAAAACATGCTCCATTACATTGATGTTTATGATCCAGAACATAATATTTTGAGAGGGGCTGGTGAGATGGCTCAGTGGTCTAAGGCACCTACTTGGAACAAGCTTGACAAAGCACAGGGACCACGGTTCGATCCCCCAGCACCACATGCCAGCCAGTCCGCCCCCTGGTGGACTGAGCTGGCCACACACACACACACACAAATAAATAAATAAATAAATAAATTTAAAAAAAAATTTGAGAAATATTCTATACATGTGTGAGAAAATGTGTATCACGTGCTAAGAGTATTCTGTATCACTTGTAGCATATTGTTAGGTGGTAGTGTTTAGGTTTGTTCCCCCTTTTTATTTGCTCCATTTGTTAGAATTCTGTAACACAAAGTGGAAATTTCTGTTTCTCCTTTTAGTTCCTCAGTTTTTGGGAAAAAAAAAAAAAAAAAAAAAAACTTTCTGAAGCTGTATTGTTGGGTACATGCACATTTAGAGTTATGTCTTTAATTGGCAGCTTATGATTATATGATTTTTATCTAGTAATACTGTTTTTGTTTTAATCTTAATATTAGCATAGTACAGCTTTATCCTTTTAGTCTTTCTTCAGGTATTTTTATTAGCTCTTATTCAAGCTCTTCTAATATGTTTTTTGTTATTTCTTCATATTTGTAACTAACTCCATTTATGATATATACAATCTTTATGTTTGTTAACATAGTTTAGGGGAGAAATTTTCATCAGCTATTGTTTTTTACATTTTTTTTTTTTATTTATTTGAGGGAGAGAGACAGTGAGAGACAGTGAGAGAGGGTGGGGGTGGGTGTTGGTGTGGCAAGTTCAGCCCACCAGGGGGCGGGGCTGGCTGGCATGTGGTGCTGGGGGATTGAACCGCGGTCCCTGATGCTTTGCCAAGCTTGTTCTAAGTAGGTGCCTTAGACCACTGAGCCATCTCTCCAGCCCTGTTTTTTACATTTTGCATTTTTTTGTTGTTGCTTTATAATAGCTCTGTCCTGGAGGAGGTGTGGTTGGCTTTTTTATATTTGTTTTATGAACCTTACTGGAAGTTCAGGAGTGTTCTCTTAAATCAGCTGTATACTGTTCTGTGTTCAGAACTGGCCCCTCAAGATAAATCAACTTTTAAAAAAATGTCTAACTTATATTTTATACTGAAATATTTCAGCCATTGTTTTGCTGAGCAAAGTGCAAGTTAATTTATTTTTATAAAATGTGTTTAAAGTGTCAAGATTGAGTCCTAGGTCGCAACTATTTTTTCCACTATTTCATCTAAAGATTTTAGTTTTTATTTTAAATTAATGGCTCATTTTAAATTTTTCTGTAGACAATGTACTTAGGTCCATTCAGTATTTTGTAAGAAGCATGAGTCTAAATGTATAGTTGCAGGGTCGGGGAGATAGCTCAGTGGAATAAGTGCTTGCCTGGCAAGTGCAAGGTCCCAAGTTCGATCCCTGGTACCACCAAAAAAAAGTACTTTATTGTTAAGTGTATAGTTGCTTCAGCACCATTTGTTAAAAAGCTGTCCCTCTTCAATTGAATTACTTTGGCTTCCTCACAGTCATTTGGCTGTGTGGATCTCTTTCTGGCTTCCTCAATCCTGTTGATTGATCTGTTATTAGGCAGCAAATACACCACTGCCTTCATATTGTGAACTCTCCAGAAAATGCTAAGCAGAATGATACTTCCCACTGTATTCTCTTTCAGAATTGTTCTTGCTAATCTAGGTTTTTTCTCTTTCCATATGAATTCTAGAATCACCTTGTCTACCAAAAACAATCAAAAAAGCTGGGTGTTTTTAAGGAATTAAATTAAACCTGTTTGTTTGTTTGAGAGAATTGGCCTTACTATATGAATCTTCTAGTCCATGAGCACAGAAGTCTTGCATGTGTTTTATTAGATTTGTACCTAAGGGTTTGTTATTTTTTATTTTTGTTTTTTAATAAATTATGGTATTAGGCCAGGGATATAGATCAGTGGACCAGCACCTGCCTGGCAAACACAAGGTTCTGAGTTCAATTCCTAGTACCCAATCAGTCAATGTATTTTAGTGTACACATTTTTATTTCTAAAATACATCATTGATTTTTGTATGTTGGTCTCATTTTGCTGCTAAACTTTATTGATTTTTCCATATATTCTACATAAACCTACCACTTGCACATAAGGGCATTATTTTTTTCTTTTATAATCTTTATGCCTTTTATTTCATTTCTTGAAGTACCCTGCTGAGAAGTTCCAATATTATATTACAAATGGTGTTTTAAGCTTAAATTTTCATTACAGCTTTATAAAAGTTTTAGGCAAGTGTAACATAATAACATAATTTTGTCTCAAAATATACACAGCCTTAGGGATTATTAATTTAGGATCAAACAAATTCATGCATGTTCAATTCTGAAAAAATTTTCTTTCAGTTAAATCTTAACGTTACATACCTTTTATAGTCTTGTTCTTTTTTGTAAAACCTAATTTTTCTTACACTATAAAAAATTTTACAATCTAAAAATTGTTTTTCCTGTATTTTTATAAGTCATTTATTTTTTAATTCAGGGTTCTGAGCAAGGTTCAACTGCTCAAGAACAGGCCTTATCTGCTCATCAACCTGCTGTTATTAACCTCCCTGGAGTAGGAGGTTTTATGCAGTCACAGGCAGCTGGTATGTATCTTCATAATTTTCCATGCTAAATGTACTAAAAGTATAATATATTCGGAATCTTGACACTTATTTGCAAGCTGAAATCAAGAAAAAGTGAGGTTATAGTTAATCTGTGAACTATTAAATAGATTTACTGATGGCTGACAGTTTTTTCCTTAATAGCTGAGAGCTTTTTTTATACAGTGTATACAGTAGTTGTCTTCCTAATATTATAGCTTATCAACAAAATTTTATACAGTTATCTTACTCAGAAGCTACTAAAGCTGTTGGCAGTGTTTATGATAAGTATATGTTAGCTCTCCACTTTCCTTAGATACTTGAGACTATTTTCATAGATTGCAGTTTTTTGACTCATTCTTTTTTTTTTTTTTTTGTATTCTAGGGAAAGGTCTGCAGGGTGTTCAAGGTCTCACTACTAGATCACAATCAGTGATTCTCCTGTTTACAACCTCCCAAGTGCTGGGATTACAGCCATGCACCACCACGCCCAGTTTCAATTGCCCTCTCAGGGCGCCCTGGGGGTAGGGCAGGCACAGCAGGCCAGGGCATGGAACCCCTAGCCCTTGCGCCTGCTTGCAGGCGCTTTAATCCGCTGAGCTATTTGGCCGGCCCTTTCTGTCCCATTCTGGTAGCTTGTCATTCTGTGACTTAAATCTTAATGATCAATAACATCACTTCCGTAGGACCTTTGTAAAAAGTGAAAAATGGACTACCCACTACTTTGAATATTTTTGTCAATTGAAGATAGTAACTTTAATTTCACTTGTATTTAAAGTCAATCAGCTACATTCATGAGAGAACTGTGACAGAATTTGAGGATTTAATGAGTAAACATGTCAACATTATAATTGTCATTGGGCCTGTGATGCTTTTGTATTTAAAAAAAATTTTTTTTTTTTTTTGTCTTTTTGAGACAGCGTCTCCCTATGCAGTTTAGACTGGCCTTGAGCTCACTTTGTATCCCAAGATGGCCTTGTACTCCGTAGCAATCCTACATTTCTATATAACCCTGTTCACAAATTTAAGTTCTTTAGCATAGAACCAACGTATTTATTTTGAAAATAAGTAATTTTTCCTGAACTTCTAATTCATAGCTAATTTCCAAATAAAAGTTCATAACTATATCCTATTAGTACACAGATTATAAATTTTCTAAAATAGCCTTAAGGTAAATTTAGTGGAAAGAACTCTAGGCTAAAAACTCCTGAGAATGTTTCTGGCTCCATATTTGTCACTGATTGCTTTGATAATCACTCAACACATGGCCGGCAGTGAGACATAAATAGCAGCCCTATTATATTAATGTGTTAAACCAGGTAGGCCTTAAACTTCATTAGTACATGAAAGGCTTGATCTCAGTAATAATGGTCTCAATCAGCTCAAAATTGTCTCTTCATCAAGTCTTATTTGAAGCACTTGTCTTACCAGTTTTACCATTTTCCCATGTCCCTTTTCCTATTTCATTGGGTGTTTTTGAAATGATGTGCTCTATTTCATACTGTACAAGAAGTAGTTGTTTTTAAAAATAGCACCAGCATCAAACTTGAGGGGCAAGAGAGGGAATAAAGTGCCTTTGCACATGTGTGCCCTCACTCCCTTCATGTCCAGGAAGTTCCATCAAGTGACACCTTCAACTAACAGCAGACTAAATTTATTCTGAAATGTCTGTCATTTGATAGTTAATTATACTGCTTTTTTTCTGTTTCATTTTCTGTGTTGTCCTTTCCTAACCCTGGTAGCCTTCAGACTTTCTGACTGGCCTGCTCTCCCTTCTCCTCTGTAGTGTTGTCTCAGCTTGGCTCTGCCGAGAACAGCCCTGAGCAAAGCCTCCCTCAGCAGAGACTCCAGCTCTCCTCTGCCTTTCAGCAGCAGCAGCAGCAGCAGCAGATCCAAGTAATCCAGCAACTTCACTCGCATTGTGCTTTTTAACTCAGCTCCAAAAGTACCTCAAAATCTTTTTCAGTTTTACTGTCTTTTAAGACTGTACAGTAATTGGTAAATAACTTAGTAAATTTTATTTAAGTTTGACGTTTAGCCAGTCAGCTTGGAGCACTGAATGTATTTTGTACATTAAGCCTGTTTTCCTAATTGAATTTAGAATGTGTTGAAATGCTGGTGGCACATTAACATACATTTTTCTGGTTGGCAGTTTTAATTAAAACAGTTCTAAAGTGCCAATTATTTACATTCAAATAATGTACTGCAGAAGTGTTCCTATTAGTAAATATTATACCTGTGTAGAAAACTTATTTTAATAAGAAAGTCAATTGTAGTTGAATGTCTTGATAATTCAGGGTGGTCTTATAGTATTATAAACTATCCTTATAGAATAAAATGGTAACTGAAGTTGCTGAGTTACTGCAATTTAGACTGGCAGGGCAAAGTAACAATTGTGAAGTTTGCCAGGCATCATTTAAAAGCCCTCAGCAAGCTTCTTGCTGTGCCACTGGTGCTGTTTGATTGTGCACTCTGTGTGTTATAGTCCCTTTTTGTTACTTTGGTGCTCTTCTCCCTTGCAGTTGTTTTCATCACTCTCAGGAAAAGCACCTTTCCACAACTGTTTTTAAGCTCACTTGAATTTCTCCCTCATTTTTGCAGCAGTTGCGATTCTTGCAGCATCAAATGGCTGTGGCGGCAGCAGCAGCACAAACAGCTCAGCTACATCATCGACATTCAGGCCACCAGTCAAAAAGTAAAATGAAGAGAGGCACGCCTACTACTCCCAAATTCTGAGTTTTCTTTTTTAAAATCTCAAGAACAGTGAATCAAAAGGATTTTTTACTTCATCTTTTTTTTAATGTTTCAGTATTTTACACTGCTAAATGTACAAACTTTATACAAAAGTACAACCCTATGATGTTTAAATAAAAACAGGGAAATAGTTTCATGAACCAGGGTTGTTTTGCCTAAGTCATTGCTTTTCACAAATGATTTTACTGTATATATGTGGAAGGGACCTAAGAAGTAGTAGAATCACCTTTTATAGAAGAATGTAGTTTGATATTTATTTAGTATAAAAAGTTTGTGCAGCCTAACAAATACAATTTTTATAAATTTGTTTTGAAAATGTGGTGCTGGTTTATTTGGGTTTCATGCTCTTTATTACTTCATCCATTAAGGTCTTTACTTCCTTGTGTCTTGTAACTGCTCGGCTCATGCAGTCCTGAAGTTTAGCTCCAGTCAGTCCACTTCCACCTGAAAAAGTATTGAGCCAATGCTTTTAATCAGTTCTTAATTCTATAAAACATCAAAGTCAATCTAAGTTATAAAACAAAAAAATGGATGTCTATATTATCACCTCAAGACGTGCAAGTTACGTACATACAAGACCTTCTGACAAGATACTGAGAACCACTGACATACAGTATAAAATATGTAATAAATTTGAGGTAGCAAATAAACCAGTAAACCTGTATTAGCCAATAAAATCTATATTCCTCTTTCTCACCCTAATAAATTGTTCACACTGAGTTTTCATCTCCTAGTACTTGAAACATAGGTAGCAGGAACCTGCCTGGTTTGTGAAGACAGCTGAGCCTGCCTTCCTCGTCCATCACTACTGTTAAGGTTCCTGTTGCCAGACGCTCCTCCTCTCCCGTAGGGTCAACTATCAGCAAAGTGCTATTAAAAATAAAAAAGAAAAGAAAAGAAAAAAGGTTAGCAAATCCACAGAACACATTTAGTTTAAAAGAACATGAAATATACTACCTGCATTTTACCATAAGTATAAAACAGCTAGACTGCAAAGAAAAGTGTAGAGACCTGCTAATACTTGATAAAAAAAGAAAAAACTTGGCTCTTAAATTTCTGAGTATACCAAAGTCCTTGGTAGCAAATACTGAAGATCACTACTTGCTTAATGAAAGAATTGAAAATATTATTACACAGCTATAGGGACCTCAGAATACAATTCAGTGGTAATGCTCCATGGATGCCCTGAGTTTAATCCCTAGCAGCACACACAAATTACAAGACTAAATAGGAATATGTAAACCAAGGCTCACAGAAGGTGATCACAGAAATAAATCACCCAAATCAAGATCATTATGAAGTGCAAAGGTTGACAAAAATAAGTGTGCAAGGACCCAACTGTCCATGCATGTGTGTGGTGGCACATGCCTGGGGCAGGAGGATCACTGAATTCGAGGCCAGCCTGAGTCATATAGCAGGCAAACTAGAATGTGGAGTCACCATAGGCATTTCTCTTAAAAAGTGACAACTCTGACTGTACAAATCTTCAAATGTTTGATCAACTTACTCATCAAATACAGCAAAAGAAGTTGCAACTGGGTGTGTTCTAATATTCAAGAAACTTTTCTTCTTTAAATTAACTTCTGCTAAAGAAGTTTCTTCATTTATACTCACTTCAGGCAGCTGTACTACAAAAAGAAGGCACACATGCAAAATGTCTTAAAGGTTTCTTCAAATTCCAAAACAAAATAGGACAGTAACAGTGGCTAATACACTGTTACCTTCAGTATAAGACACCAACATTTGATGGTCCATACCATGTTAGCACAAACACACAAACCTTTTTTTTCCCCAATACACTAAGGTATATTAATAGTATACCTTAACTACCTTTCTATAATATATATATGTATATTTCACTGTGTCTACTCATCAAAAGTTACAAAGTATTATCCTTGTTATATTTAGATTAGGAAATAGGAAACTTAAGCACAAAAAGAGCTATGATTCAAATGTAAGGTTTATTTTGTAAGACTGCTGTTTAATTACATCTTCAGATGTATTATCAATTCAGCAATACAATACCAAACCAATCTACCTAATGTCTTACTGATATGGTAATGGAACTTTACCATTAAAGCTGAGACTTATGGCTTTACAATAAAAATAAATCCACTCTACTGCAGGCAACAAACTTAAGACAAATTCTGGAGATCTATCTTCATCAACTCAAAAAACAGTCAAGGCAACTCTAGAAAGTATTCAGAAAATATAAAATTTCAAAGTGTATTTAGAAAATCATGTCAGTAAGTTCATTACTTAAAAATGCATGACTGGTAACTAAATCTTAAAAAGCCATTGAGAGTTCATTGAGCAAATGTACATTAAATACGTCACAAAACAACATTCTAATTCGATAAGAGGAATGCTGCCTTTTATTAAAGCTGCTTACCATTTTTTAAAGCCGCTAACAAAGCAAATGTGCAGGCATCCAAAATGTTCCCATCATAGTCCAGGCAAATGAGATCACAGTATAAAACCCACGCAAGCTAAAACAGGTCACACAAAAAGAAAGTAAAACTTCTGGTGGTAAAAAGTACTATTTACTTAAGACCACAAAACCCTTAGTTAGGCAAAATACATTTCAAGGCGCAAAAGCTTTATAAAATGTTCTGCCTTTATAAAGGAGAGAATCAAAAGAAGTGGACAGGTTGGGTGAAAGTATTTCCGTTGCCCTCAAAGGAGATGTGGGGGCAGTTTCTTTCTCCTTGCTAGGTTAGATGAGGGAAATGCTTTTGAAAGCCCTAGCTAGAACTCAAAATGTACTTTCCCACAGAGGCCTTAATATATGACATGTTTCTTAGTATGCAGCCTATCAAGCAAGAAACCCTTTTCTAGCTCTCATCAATCCAATTCTAGCAGGCAGAATTTTGGGATCCACCATGCAGCACAAACAAAAGAACTTGCTATAAGAAGACATTAAGAAAAATTAATTTCTCTCTTGAAAGCCGACAAGCAATTAAAAGATGGTTCCCAAGGAGACAAAACCTTAGGAACTTGTTTTTATGAACTACAGTTTATTTAGAGATTAAGTTTTTACTGAATTCCATCTAAAATGTGTAAGTCCTCCATATTTGATACTATAAAAACACTTCAAAATAAAAGCTCATTCTCTACTCTTACCTTTCCAGAAGAAATACATAAATCCTCTTTCTGAATTATCTGCGAACTTGATTGAAAAGGACAAAAGACCACAGTAAGTAAAAGGTCAAAAACTATTTGAAAGTAAATGATAGTAAAATTTTACCATACCAATCTTACTTTTCAATGACATCTGCGATGAACTGACTCGCCACCTGGGCCTCCTCTCCAGGAGGACCAGAGCGAAATCTCGATGAACACAGCGGTGGCAGATCCACATTAGGAACTGAAAGAAACACTCCGCAGCTATGAAAGTAGCTTCTAAAGGAAGGGCGTTCAATCTACAGCAAAGGCAACGGGGACTATGGACAGACGTTTGCAGGCAGAAATCAAAGTAACATTATAATAGTATTTTTTGGGGTTTTCGTAACACCACTTCTAAGCTTAAATTAAAAAAGAAATCTGTATTTTTTTCATGTTTTTCCACACAGTTTTGTTTTAAACATTTACATTAGGCCTCAATCCTAAAACTTTCACCTTTTCCTGGATTCTTCTCAAATCTTAATTTCCTTAATCTGTAACAAAATAGTCCTACTCACACCTGTTACTTTGCATTTTAAAAGCATTGGCTCCTACTATAAGGAACACATGGTCCATACCAAGGAAAAACTGCAGTTTAAAAAAAAGAATTCATGGAAACCGAAAAGTTTGCAATGACAACCCTTTGTCTAAAACCATTCCGTATCAGGCTGGCCAAACAGCTCAGCAGATTAAAGTTCCTGCAAGCAGGTGCAGGGGCCAGGAGGTTCAAATCCCATGGCCTGCCCCACCCCTGTGGGGGGGGAGATGAGACAGCAATTGAGATTGGGTGTGGTGGCACGTGCCTGTAATCCCAGCTCTTTAGAGGCTGTAATCAGGAGAATCAGGAGAATCACTAGCGAGTAGTGAGACCCTGAACACCCTGGAGACCCTTCCCCAAAATACAAAAAAAAAAAAAAGACATTCTGTATCATTAGATGACAAATACATAAATAAAAATTGACTAATTTGATAAAGATTAAATTTATGACATTCTATATTTTGCTACTGTGCCTTTTAGCACTTTTGAAATGTGCTTTATTTTCTTGCCTTTATTTCTGAATATTAAGAATACTCTTCTTAAATCAATTACTAGGCCTTACTTAGAATTAAGTGTTACAGCATTTATATAAAATTACAAAAGCATTTAACTTACCAACATACCCTTTATCAGGGGCATCTGTTGGTGGTACTGCAAATTCCTGTAGAAGAAAACAAGTTTCTTACGAAGAGGCTACTGAAAATTGTGAAGGCAGTTGGTAATTGTGAAGACTTCTTGTGACTCACAGAAGGGTCCACCAAGAATGCTGAGTTACCCACCCCACCTTGAGCATCTACTGTGCTTGAGGAATTGATTCAGGGACCCTAAGGAGACTGGCTCTCATCCTCACAATAGCTTTGCAAGGCACCAATGCAACATACTAAAGCACCACAGTGCTGTTCATCAACACTACCTGGGGGTCTGTTTAAAATTACTCGTGGGCGGGCCGGGGAAATGACTCAGTGGAATACATGCTTCCCTGGCAAGCGCAAGGGCCTGAGTTCAATCCCCGGTTCCGCAAAAAAAAAAAAAAAAAATTACTCGTGGGCTTTCTGCACACCCTCCTTGTCCTTATTCAATAGCCAAGAATGTGAACTGAATCTCCAAGTGGTACTAAGAGAGCTCAATCCCGGGTATCAGTGTGGTCAAGAGCAAAAGCCCTATACTCAGTAACCCAGTTCAATGTCAAACCCACATTTAGCAAGTGAGACGTTTGGAGTAAGTCGTTTAACCTCTTTGAACCTCCTTATTTGTGAAATGGGCAAAACAGTAATGCCTGCTCCTAGGGAACTAAGAAAGAATGAACAGTACAATGCAATAAAGTCCCTTGGATAAATCCTTTCAGGAAGTGAGTATTCCAATCTTACTGTCAGTTACTTCTCCAACCTTACCAAAGAAAACTGAACTGTGATATAGGGTAGACAGAGTCAAAAAAGCAGATTAGAAATCAGATTTAGGTCCATATTCTGCTTACGAACCTTGTATACGTGGACAAGTTACTGAACCTCATCTATGAAGCAGGAAATGGGAACCAATTCCATATAGCACTAGTATTATCTGGCACATAGGAGTACACAGTAAATGAATAATAGTTATTACTCGACCCTTTAAAACTCAGTTGTCTACACATTTACACAGATTAAATGCTATCACTGGCTACAAGAATGTCAATATAAAAGTTCTCAACTTCTCAAATAATGTAATCAAAATATAAATGTAATGATTCAAACAATTGTTTCATGAAATTTCAGTTGTCTGGTAAATGTTCAAAAATTTTAAAGTCATTAAACTAGGACTGCATTATCTAATAAAGCCAAAAACTCTTGGGAAGTTAAAACAAATACTAAAAACCTGATACCTGTTTAATCTACAACAGAATTATAGGTGTATGTTATTATTTGAAACTAATTTCACAACTGCAATGTCAGCAATTTCATATATTAAACCTACCGCTTTAACGCCACAAATTACTGTAGTATTTCCCAGTTTCACTAGAGCAGAACCATCTGCTGTACTAATTGAACCTGAAAAGATAAATATGGTATATAAGCAAAATGAAGTCTACAAGGGGGGCCGGGGATATGGCTCAGTGGAATAAGCGCTTCCCTGGCAAGCGCAAGGGTCTGAGTTCAATCCCCGTTCCACAAAAAAATTAAAAAAAAAATTAAAAAAACCAGCAACTGAGTGTGGGCATGATGATGCACACCTATAATTCCAGCACTGGGGAGGCTAAAAAAAAAAAAAAAAAAAATGAAGTCTACAAGGAAAAACAGCTACAGAGTTATAAAGTGTCTTAGTTTGCTATGTATGAGTAGCTTCCTACCCTCTCAGCTACTTATAAAGTTATTCCACATTCAATACATTAATTTTGAAATACATTACTCTTTTTAGTGTTTTAGGAATTTCATCCCTATCCTTGGATTATCACTTTACAGTCAGTCACAGGGATTGTTGCACAGATAAAAATCTCAACACAAAAGCATCAAATCCCATTGATACGAAGAATTTGGCTGGAAATGTGTTTGAAGGATTGCAAAGGCTAACACTTAGTAATGTCATACAATTGAAATGAACAGATATCCTACCTATGTTGACAGTTGTGGTTCGGAATTCACCAAGCTCTCTTCCGTCAGGTCGGCAGTTCTCTTTCTACAGTTTGTTCATAGTGAAATAGATGACATTTTTTTACATAACCAAAAAGAAATACAATAAACCTCAATAACCCAAATAAATTAAATGGAATCTTGTCTTCAAAACAGCATGACAGTATCAAAAGCCATGTGTACATGTAACCACCTTTACTCACCAGAAATCTCCTGTAATACTCCAAAGGTTCCACTGTCCTGAAATATATTAAATATAAGTTAATAAATCTTAAACCCAGAAGCTAGCAAATATTTGAAGCCTGATGATGCAGCATCAACTGCACAATTACCTGTTTCACAAATTCTGATACTTTCGTGGTCATGTGTAGTAAATACAAAACCAACCAAACATTCCATCCTGAACTTAACTGTGCTGTAAACAACTACAGAGGACCAGGA